CCTCCCAAAAACACATTTTCCCTTAGCTTTTTGATTATGACATAAAAAAAGATAGCCCAATACACGAGTACTTCACATGGGTTTGGGGAAGAATCACACCCCAAGGGATATGATATAGACAATTTATCCTAATGACTGATTTTACTATTCGAACTCGTAACTTATAGGTAACACGAATACAACTTAACTATATTGCTCCGAGGGTCCCCTTCTTTTTGATTATGGCACTTCTTTTTAAAAAAAAAAAACATAAGTAGCATAACTACTTCTGAATTTATAATTTTACCCCTCAATACAATGATATGAAGTCAAATTTCTAGATTCAATTCTCTTCCCACCATTTGTAGGGGTGTTTATCAGGCGGATTGGACGACTTTTTACTCTTAACGGTTTGGCTTAACGGTTATCGGCTTTTAAATGTACTAATCCGCTAGCCACCCGATAAGATATCGGGCGGATTGGTATCGGGTTAGCTCATATCGGGCGGTTTATCGGCCTAACATACATATTTAGAAATCAAAGTTACACCACACATGATACATGTCTGTTAAAAATACAGAAAACATCATTTTGCTTGTGTAACTAGATGCCGCCTCTGTTTAATCAAGTTAAGCAAAAGTTAGTAACAAGTAACAACCTTGCCAGAATGCACTAACGAAACGAATTTGAAGATTGAGGGAAAAAGGAATTACATAGCCCTCCCAACTTTCAAATTTATACGACACTCTCTAATTTCCAACACTTTAAAATGTTAGAACCCATTCTCAACTCCTAAAGTTTCGAGAATTTTAGTTCATCGAAGAGTCAAGTTTAAACTTGGATGTGTGTTTTCTCTATCAAACTAATTGTTCAATTACTACTTTAATAATGCTTCTTTTGTTTCATGTAGAATAATCAAGTCAAATTAACATTTTAAACATTGTGCACTGTCAAATGTTATCACATAAAATAAAACCGAGGGAGCAGTATTTCCAGATGTTGTAACATGAAAACAAGCACTGGCTTGCTAATTAAATTGGAATCACAGGAATATTGTGTATAAAATGTAAAACTCCTAGGAAATGCAATGGCTGAATTTGACAATCATGTCGGTAGCAGACAACCTTATTTCCAACGGCTGATCATTGACAAGCAATATATTCACCAATTTCGTGTGTAACTAGCCCAATGCAAAAGCTGCTGCTTGTTAGGGCTTCTGTCATTAATTGTTTGATTTTGTTATTCATTTTCAACTTTTAAGAGTTTTAATTTTTTTATATTGAATATATAAAATAAAATAAAAAAATTATATATATTTATATTCTTAATGGCTTAACGGGTTACCCGTTAAGAAAATTAAATAATCCGTCCCCAATCCGATAAGCCGTTAAAAAAAAATCCAATCCGTTCCCCGTCCGTTAAGCCGTTAAGCCGTTACCAGTAAGCCGTTAAGCTTCGGTTTGGATCGGTTTTCGGTTTCGGATCGGTTTTGAACACCCCTAACCATTTGCACAAATTATAGAGATTATATTAATGAAAAAAACAGTAAACAGGAAAAATGATTTTCTTTATTTAACGATGTTCTTTTTTGTAGAATTAGTTTTTCCTAATATTTGTCTAAATTATCTCGTCAAAAGTATCAAGTGCACACATACATAAAGTCAAAGATATATGGAGTTCGGAGCACAAGGCGTATCTAGCTATTAGGATATGGGTTCTTCTCTCCGTAAATTATGTATAATAATATTGTTTAGCTCAAAGTTATCGTGCATTTTATGAGCATAAATCAATCACAGTAAGACAAGAGCCAATCATAGCAGATCGTAATAAACAACCAAAAGACTTAAATAAAAAGGACAAGAAATATGTTTATGTATTGAGATGATAAGGGTGGGAAGCTTTTTATTGATTTGATATTGGTTTGGTTTGCCTCTCCTCGGAGAGGTTCAGAGTCTTATAATAATGTTCTCTCTTTTTTAGAAGTAGAGATAAAAAAGAAGAAGCAAAACTCCACTTTTAGGGTTCTTTCTCTTAGTATTTATAGCTGTGAACCTTGCCAGCTGACGTTGGACGGTCGTGGTCATGTTGAGGGGACGCCCGTCAATAGTGAGTAGGCCGTGGCCTCGTTGATTAAGCCGGGTGAACTTTGAGTGCTTATTATTAACGAATGGTTATGCCATTTGTTAGCCCGAATAGGCTTAAGAGCGAGTTAACCACATTAATTATCACGAGTCAAGTTTCGACCCATACAAATATTATATTTTTTTAAAATTATTTAAATATGTGTGTACGCACCCATGCTCAAAGGCTCCTATCGTGCAATGATTATTAGATGCATCTCTACGAACAAAATTGTCGGTTCAAATCTCATTTCTAACGGTCTTATTTTTCGGCACATAGTATAAATAATACGTGAAAATCATAAATTTTTAAAAAAGAATATAATTTTGAACATATAATTTCTAAACTCTAAAGTGTAATGGGTTCATGGTAAGGGAATATTAAACACTTCAAATGTAAATTTAGATCAAACTCTTTATAATAGTGCACCTATCCTCTTAAAATTCTGGATCCGCCTCTGATTCGAATAGTAGGGCTTTAGGGGGTTCTCTTCGTAGCTCGAGAAATAAAATACACAAGGTTCCACAAGTTTTGAATATGTCCTTTGGAGGATTCACACGAAAAAAGAATTTTATGAATAGATAGAATCAACTGTTCTGGTATTTGATTATGAACCTTGCATGAGTAGTAGAGGCGGTTCAATAGTACTGGAGGCTTAAAGTCAAGATGTAATAAGAGGCTTCAAACTTGTTTAATAATTTTAGATATTTTTGTTGAAGTTTATTCTTTTTACTTTTTGATATGCAATTTCATCTTGACGATATAATTAACCCCTTTAATTTTTGTTGAAATATTACTAATCTTTAATAAGATATTATTAAGTTTAATTTTTTTTCTTTTAACATGACCGTCAACATAACCCATTATATAGCATTGCCTCCCAAAGTAACAATTGTGTAGGAATTTGTATTTACAACGATAATAAATATTTTACGATCTAATTAGCTTGAAGCCTGCAGAGATTTTTAAAAAAAAATATACTACAAAATTAGAGTTGTAATTAAAATTTATTCAAGTTGAAGTAAGAAGAACTAGAAAGTAACTACATATTTAATTGTCTTTCATTTTCAATTGAATTTTCTCACCAACCCCCAAAAAAGACGACATAAAATATAAGACTGTATTATTAACGATTGGTGACAAGATAGCAAAAGATGATTTAAAAAATTTCTTATCACTATTTAATAATAAATACAATAAATATTTAAATTACATATAAAAAGAATAATTTTTGGGGCCTCTAATTTTGTGAGGCCTAAAACAGCCACGTTAAGCCGCCTCTGATGAATAGTTGGCAAAGTAGATGGCACCAAATAAATTTAGTAAAAATACATGCGACCAGCTGATTCAAACACCACCATCATACAAAATATATTATACCAAAGGTTTATCAAATAGTAATAAGTTCCAATGACAAATAACAATAGAGACGTGCAAGTTGCAGCTTGGATAAGTAGGGCAACTGACAATGTCCACTCGCCGCAATTGGCGCAGAATTTTAGGTGTAAAAAGACAATTTTCAAGAAAGCTACAAACAATAATATAACTAAGAAAATAATATACAAGTAACAAATTTGTCTTCAATGAATTAGTGATAAAAAAATTAGAATGGTAAGAAATATGTAAAAAAAATTACATATCCATCTTCATCAACTCTTCTAACATACTTTCTTACCAATGCAACTAAAATTATATTTTACAAGTACAAATCTTGGTAGTAAGAATTCCATATAGGAAAAGAAAAAATTGTAGTAATAATAATAATCAAAATCAGCCAATTAATCATTAAATAGATCAAGAATTGGAAGAGAGAAAAAATCTCTTCTTTTTTACTTCTTCTTCTTCTTTAATCCAAATTTGCTCTGAATATACAGAAGCCTCTCTCATTTGGGGCCTCAAATGAATTCAACAATTTTTGGCTCTTTTGGTCATAGCTCAACTTTCATTTGTGAAGTAGGAATATTACCTGCATTCAATAAGGAAAAACGTTACATCGTTTTTCTCTAAAAGATAACTACAAGTAACTGATCATAAACAGTGAGATTACTAACTTGAATATAAGTCAGGTTACTTATTAAAACAGGTCCAAATATACCAATATACGATAGTGTATCGATTACCTACTAGTAAAACAGTCAAACCTATCTATAACAGCCTCATTTGTTTCGATATCTTTTGGTTGCAATAGTGAAGTACTCTTATAACGGACCTATATTATAACATAACATAAAAATCGGTTCCGAGAAAAACTTGGCTTTTATAGTGAATGACTGTTATATAGAGATGGTGTTGTATCATTATAAAGAGACAAGTCTACTAACCAGGATAACTCTGGTTCTGATTTTGGCCAAAGCCCATTTGAACAACACTATTGAGATCATCCTCAAAGAATGGGGGGACCTGAAAAAACAATTGAACCACCTTTTGTTAAGCAAACTATTAAAAAAAGTAAGATTTCACTTAGAATTTTACAAAGTTTAATAAATTCCTATATCGCTCGAATCATTCAAAAATGTCGCTGCAACTGTATTGGATCCTCCAAATGTTCCGACAAAGATGCAACAACATTTTTGAAAGATCCGAACAATATAGGTGAATTAAATGGAATTATTTATTACCTGAGGGGTAGATTCAACATAACCATCTAGAGAAGGCAATTGCATATTTGAATTTCTAGCCAAATTATTATTCAAGGAGTTTATTGGAAATGGAAACTCTGTTCCTTTATGAAAGTTTTGTCCTGGCTGAGATTGAAATCCATAAGGAAATGCTTGTGCTGAAGTTTCTGATGAATACATGTTTTGTGCCAATGATCCTCTAGATTGAAACATCTGAAAAATAAACACAAAATTTCATAAATTCAAAATCTTTTTTATTTTTGCTTTATTGGTGAAGTGAAGGAGAGCCTTGGCGTAACCGATAAAGTTACTGTCAAGTGATCCAGAGGTCATATGTTCGAGCCGTAAAAACAGCCTCTTGCAGAAATGCAGGGTTAAATTTTTTACAATAGACCCTTATAGTCCAGTCTTTCTCCGAATCCCGCCTATAACGGGAGCTTAATGCACCTAACTGCTTTTTTTTTAATTGAAGTAGTACTAAGAATTTAATTGACTTACATCCTTGGAAAGAAGAGCTTCCATATTAAAGTCCATTCTAGGATTTACAGTAGCTAACTTCATTGAAAGGAACTGCAAATGACATTAAACAAGTAAATAAATTCAGTAAATCTTGCTTTAAATTTTATTATTGAAATTTGAATTTCATAATACTAGTACCAAAATTATTATTTTTTTACCTCAACTTGGCGTTGAAGTGATTGTACATAGTTAATAATCTCATCCAGCATCACTGCTTTTCCAGTCACCTATAGTAAAAATTTCAATTTCCCACATCAAAATTCTGAATTTTTTTAGCAGAGCAAAATAAGAAAATTAAAAAAAAAAAAAAAAGGTGGTACCTTATTGCAGCCTGGTACAAGATCTTGTAGAAGCTTCATTCTTTCACTTATTTTCTCTCTTCTCACCTGTTAAATTGAAGAATATGTCAGAGAACATAATTGGGGAAAAAATGGAAAAACATGAAATTTGAGTAGTTTGAATATATGTTGCTCGATTCCTCAAAAAATGTTGTCGCCGCCTTACCGAATCCTCAAAAAGGTATGAGTTTTGAGGATCTGACATGCAAAAAGACATTATTTTTTGCTGTCGCACCTTACCGAATCCTTAAAAAAACATAATTTTTAAGGATCTGACATGCAAAAAGACAGCAATTTTTGGAAGATTCGAGCAACATAAAAAAAAATAAAAAAAAAATTCATACTCTTTCAGCTAGACTATGTGCATCTGTGGCCTGTCCCCTTCTAGCTCTCACATGAATATAATCCTTTGGTGGCTCTGGAACAGCTTTTTCTTCTTTTTTAGCAGCTTTTTCCTCTTCTTTTGCTTTATCATTTCCATTATTCTCCTCAGACTTACTTCTTTTAGCATTTGATTCATTTTTCTCTAATGAAACCTGCATAAAGTACACAAAGTAAAAATAAATTAAAAAAATACCAATTAATGTTAGTTAGAATTCCAAGCAGCAGCAGCAGCAACAACAAATACAGTGAAATTACACAAATGGGGTCGGAGGGTAGTGTGTAACCAGACATTACCCTACATCTAAGAAGGCCGAGAAGTTGTTTTCGGTAGAGCTTCAGCTCAGGAAAGAGAAAAGCACGGAGTAATAACAAGCAAACTAACCAAAAAACTCGAAGCGAAAATACAAGACTAACACTAACTAATGCAATCAGAAAGGCGAAACGAAAGGTACATTACATTAGCATTCTTGGATTTTCCCTTGGAAATTGATTTCCTTTTTCTTGAATTGGTATCATTTTCACCAACTGGAATCTGCTCAGAAACTGAAGAATTTTCCCTTGAATCACCAAATTCTGAATTTTTTGTAGCTAAATTCACATCTTTGAATTCTTGAATTTGAGATCCAGATGAGACTTTAATAGACTGATTACTTGAAACTCTTGAAAGTTTCCCACTTTCCAAATTTGGCTGTGCTACAATTTGTCTATTGTGTTGCAACAATTCAGCTTCATTAAAACTTTTGAAAGTTTTATTAGCAAAACAAGAAAATTTTGCTGCTCTTTCAGCAAATCCAGGATCAGCACTAAATTGTGGCAATTGATTATGTGACAAATTGCCCATCATAGAAAGATTTAATTTTGGTGGAGAATTTAATGGAGTAGTATAACAAGAATTGTTAGTACTACTATTAATCATATTGGAATTTGGTGACATTTCTCTTGAATTACAAATACTACCTAATCTACCAATTAATTCCCTTAGTACAAAATTATCACCACTACTATTATTTGGAATATTGGCATTTGGAGATGATACCATAGAACTTAATGCAGACTCAAATGGATCAGAATTTTCCCAATTTGGATTAAAAAAACAATTTTGAATTTGCTCATTTTCTTGAATTTCAAGTCCATAATTGCCTATTGTAGTGTTACCATCATTTGTAAATAAATTTCCCTTCTCCATTGGAAAAACAAGAAAAGAAAAGGGTAGGAATTTTCTTGAGAAAATGGGGACTAGAGTGAATATTTAAGTTACTAAATATAGAAGAAACAAGACTAGAAAATGAAGTTAGAAACTAAGGGGAGAAAATGTGATTGTGATAATGACTTTGCTCTTTGAATTCACTTAAAATGAGAAATTTATGATCATTGAGATAATAAAGAGGTGAAAGGAAAGGAAAGGAAGAAGAAAATGAGGAAAGTGAGACAGAAAAAATAGGAGGAAAGTAA